TAAATCAAAAGGCTGAAGAGAGGTGTTGGGTAAACTACAGGCAGCAAACCCCACCCTGGACTATACAGCCTGTCAGGTCCACGCAGTTCATTCCTGTTTGTGCCTTAATTCTTCCATGGGATGTAGGCATCATTGGTGAGTTTGGAACTTAATGCCCTTCTGTAATTGCCCTTGAGCTGATTGATTGGTTTTCCAAGCCATTTAGAAGGCTATTGAAGAGTCACATTTCTGTGAGTCTGGAGTCACATGTAGGCCAGAAAAGGCAACAATAGTGGATTTCCTTCCTTGGTGCATGTTAGTGAACTGGATGGATTTTTTTTTTTACAACAATATTACATGGTCACCATTAGACTAGATGTTTTGATTTAAAAAAAAAATTATTGGGAGCGGCACAGTGGCTCGGTGATTAGCACTGCTGCCTCACAGCACGGACCTGGATTTGATTCCACCCTCGGGCAAATGGGTGCAGTTTGCACATTCTCCCTGTGTCTTTGTGGGTTTCCTCCGGGTGCCCTAGTTTCCTCCCACAGTCCGAAGATGGGCACTGGTTCTGAGGAAGTGTCATTAATCCCGAAACGTTAACTCTGATTTTTTTCTTCACAGATGCTGCCAGACCTGCTGAGCAATTTCCAGCAATTTCTGTTTTTGTGCCAAAGATGGGCAGGTTAGGTGGATTGGCCGTGCTAATCATAGTGTCCAGGGATGTATAGGTTAGATGTGTTAGCAATGGGGAAATGCAAGGTTACAAGGGGTTGGGTCTGGGTGGGATGCTCTTCAGATGGATGGTGTGGACTCGCTGGGCTGAATGGGATTCCCTATACAATCTATGACAGTGGGATTTGAAGGTGTGATGTCCCCAAGCCTGGCACACTGGATTACTAGGCTAGTTGCACTATCACTGCACCATATTATCCTTCTAATTGTTGCTTGGTTTTTTGTGTGATACATACGTTGGTAGCAAATGCAGCTTCTGTTGTCCATCTGGATGTTAAGGGTTTGATGCAATGGAGTTACTCACCAGGCAACTTCAGACAGTCTTACATGTGCGTGCATGCCCAGTCACAGAATCAAAATCATACGATGTTAAAGGTACAGACAGCCCATTGAACACAAGCAATGCTGCTTTCCCAGGTGGACCAAGAACATACTGGTCAATGAATAACTTTTCATGACCTCCAATATCGCCACTCTATAATTCTTGTACATCTCTGTGATATCGCTGAAGATTTGCTCCTTTGTCATTTTCACGCTATTTGGAGACTATCCCCAATAGTGTGATCATGCACAGAACCCCTACAGTGTGGAAGCAGGCCGTTTGGCCCATCAATCCCACACCAACCCTTCGAAAAACATCCCACCCAAACCTACCTCATCCCTGTAATCCTGCATTTCCCATGGCCAATCCATTGAGCCTGCACATCTTTGGACTGTGGGAGGAAGCCGGAGCACCCGGAGGAAACCCACACAGACACAGGGAGAATTTGCAAACTCCACACAGTTGCTCAAGGCTGGAATCTAAACTGGATCCCTGGCACTGTGAGGCAGCAGTGCTGACCACTGAGCCACCATGCCACCCTGAAACCAGACTTGCTTCTCAATACTAACCAAATGGATATTGCCCTTGCTCCCTCACAGAGGTCCCCCTTTCCAACACTGCAAAGCCTTTCCCAATCAATACTATCACACTATCTCATGTTTTCCTGCCTTCCCTGCCCATTTCGTCTTCAAGTTCATATTTTTCTGTTATTATGCTTTGATCTCTGTTATTCTTGCCTCTTTTTAAAAAAAACTTTTGTTTCTGCTCTTTTCTCTTTCAGTCCCCCGGCCTTGTCTGATGATGGACACAGATGCTATGATGTTCTGTGTGAGGAGCTGTTGAGTGCTGTAATCCTGGTGCAAAGAATGTGTGGTAGAGACTCTGGCAGCTTACTTGACATTCTTTTTACTGTGAGAACGGGCAACAATTAGTTGCATTTATATAGCACCTTGAAAGCATGAAATTGTCCCAAAGGGCATCACTGAATTATAAGGTGAAGGAGGTGTAAAATTTACATGGCTAAATCGCAAAGTAGAGTTGAGTCACAACTGTAAAGACGGTCAGTTCTTATTTGTCTGCATTTTATTTATTCTGGGCTGAAGTGGGGGAGAAAAAACTGTTTCAAAAGCATGCGTTGTTAAAGGATTGTTGTACTTTTTAAAAAGCAAGTGACCAAATACTCATTGTGAGTACTGTCTACAGAGGTGCTGGTTCATGCAGTAGTAGGGATCTGTTTACAGATGAGTTGGAGCCAGGGGGCTGTGTACAAATGACAATTTGGCCAGCAACGGGTAGCTGATGGGTCTATGGAATGGTGACCAATTTATCAATGGCACATGCCTCCTACCTGCCCACAACTACTTGCTTGAGGGTGTTGGTGGCGGGGTGAATACTTTGGGAGAAGCCATCGGATCTCTGCCAGAGAAGGAATGTTTCCTTTCTCAGCCGTGGTTAAAAAAGGCTTAACCCTAATGGAAGATAGTTTGATTTTGCCTCAATATTTGCTTTGAGTTGTGGCCCTTAGCCAGGAATGATGTGGAGGTGTCGTTGTTGGCCTGGGGTGGACAAGGTCAGAGATCACAGGACACTAGGTTATAGTCCAACACATTTATTTGAAATGATAAGCTTTTGAAGCGCTGCTCCTTCTTCAGGTGACAAAATGGTAAGTGATAACCAGCCACCCTGTACCTTCTACAAGCAGGTGGAAGTATCTGGAGAAGGCATATCCTGAGTCAAATTCTGAGAACCGTGACCCTTGAACTGCCTTCCGAGTCTTTCCTTCCATCTATCAGACACATACTTGTCCCTGTTTGTCTCTCTATCTGTATGCTATTTGAGTTGAGTTTTAAATTGTAGAGTTATATGTCAATGATTTATAATTGTTTCTGTTTAGCTTGAATTGATTAATTTGTAATAAACATTCTTGTTAAGTCCAGAAACATAGTTTGTGCTTTCTGTCAACTTGGGTCTAAAAGTGGAAGAATTAGTTACAGAACACAAGTACATTCTGATTGGAATTTAAGAAATGAATCCAAAAAAATCAAAATTAAAAAGAAACACAGATAAACACATCAGTCTCAGAATTGTTCATGAAGAGCAGATTGTTGAGTGTGGAGTTTAATGGTAGCCTGGACACTGGGAGTTGAACAGTTTATTTCAAGGCTCTGGGTTTTCTAGACTGATTGAAGTTCCTTTGTCCTGATTTCTTTTTAATTGTTTGTAGCACCCAGACTGAAGGAAGTTCTTTACCTGCAATACAGGGTGACTAACGGATAGTTCTTTGCCTGCGGCCTTCACAGCATACTAACACTCAATCCCAGACTGGTACACACGAGGACATGCAGTCTCACTAGTCCACTCCAGTAGAGCTGACACTACTTTTTTAACACCCTACTCCCCGATCCTGTGTATATATGTTGGGTAAAGCAGCCATGTCTGCAAGAGGTAGCTTTGTGTCTGGACAGGAGAGATGTCAGCACTACCCCCTCTGTTATCTCTTTATAGCTCTCCCTGCTGAAATTTCTGCGAAAATTTACATGTTCAACATTCCAGTGGTTTCACATTGGATTTTGCAAGACAATTAGTAATTTTTTTTGCTGTAGAAGTTTTCATTTTAAACAAGACTTCTTTGAATTAATAGTAAAAAAATGTCATAGAGTCATACAGCATGGAAACAGACCCTTCTGTCCAACCAGTCCATGCTGACCACAATCCAAAACTAATCTAGTCCTGCCTGGCTGTATTATGCCATATCCCTCCAAACATTTCTTATTCATGTACTTATCCAAATGTCTTTTAAACATTGTAACTGTACCCACATCCACCACTTCCTCATTCCACACACGAACTACACTCTGTGTAAAAAAGTTGCCCCCTGTGTCTTTTTTAAATCTTTCTGTTCTCATCTTAAAAATATGCCCCATAGTCTTGCAATCTCCCACCATGGGAAAAAGACACCTGCCATTCACCTTATCTATAGCCCTCATAATTTTATGAACCTCTACAAGGTTACCTCTCAAAATTCTACTCTCCAGTGAAAAAATTTCCAGCCTATCTAGCCTCTCTTTATAACTCAAACCCTCTATTCCCAGCAACATTCTGGTAAAACTTTACTGAAGCCTCTTCCAGCTTAATAATATCCTTCCTAAAATAGGATGACCAGAAGTGGTTCTGATCTATCATTATAAAAATACATACACTGCACGAGGCATTCAGTATTGAAGAGATGTTGGTGTTCTGGTAATGTAACTGGACAGACCAATGCTCTGGGGGAATGGGTTGATATCTGCACCATATATCTGGCATGTGAAACTAGTCTCAGTGATGGTGAGTCCTAAATATTAAATTATTGTTTAAAATCAAAACTCTATGAATGACTAAGACCGTTTAGGGAAGGCAATCCACCAATATGTGACTCCAGACCCACAACAATGTCACTCTCTTTTAAAAAAAAAACCCGAAAGAACTGTGGATGCTGTAAATCAGGAACAAAAACAAAGTTGCTGGTAAAGCCCAGCAGGTCTGGCAGCATCTGTGAAGGAAAAAAAAAAGGTTAACATTTCGGGTGCAGTGACCTGAAACGTTAATTCTGTTTGTTCCTTCACGGATGCTGCCAGACCTGCTGAGATTTTCCAGCATCTTCTGTTTTGGTCACTCATTTTTAAAGTGGCCTAACAAACCATTTAGTTCATAAATGTTGCTCCTGCCTGCGATGCCTCAATTTCCATGAATGAATAAGCATTAAAAATTGCACAAAAAAGATGTGGATCATAAGATAATGTAGGTGAGTGGCATGCACATGCGTGGAGATAATTTGTATGAAATACAGAAGTGTAGCACAATGGTAGTACCCCTATCTCTGTGCAAAGAAACATCCCACTTGCTCCAGAGGTGTGTAATAACATTCCCTAACAGATTGTTTTTAGGAAACATATTCCACCTACTGAAGGATAGGGATGTCTGTGGCACTGTGGTGGTGTCCCCATCTCTGAGAAAGGGGACCCAGGTTCAAATCCAACCTGCTCCTGAGGTGTGTTATAACATCTTCGAACAGGATTTTTAGGGAGAATTATTTCACGTACTGAAGTATAGGGGCGCTTGTGGCAAGTTGTAGTGGTGTCCATACCTCTGAGACAGGAGACCCATGTTAAAATCTCACCTGTAATAAATACCCAAACAGGGTTTTAAAGAAAATTTGACACACTGAGGTGATTGCCACAAGGGGGAGACTTGTGCTCAAGTTGCAGCCAGGAGAGAAGTTGCAGATATAGTTAGGGTTAAGAAAGTTGCTGTGAAAGGTGCCAGGGTCTAAGTCCAGCCTGGCGCCGTGTGAGCACGCCCCGAGCTAACAAACCGAACCTTACCCCTCCCCAGAGCTCTGCAAATCCAGAGCCGGAGAGCTCCTTCGATTCCAGGTGAGAGGGGAGGGGAGGGGACAGAACAAGTCCCCACCTCTCAATGACAAGCAAAGGGAAAAGAAACCAGCCAAAGTTAACGTTTATTTTTTACAGCGAGGACAGAAAAGCAGAGGGAGAGGCAGATCTCGATCACTCTCCCGGCTGCTTTCATCCTGTAACTGACCTGAAACTGACCAAGGTGAGTGACGCTACTTGCACACACACACACACACGCACACACACAGAGTTTACCTTCACTCTGAAGAGTCGCGAAAGATTCGTGAAGCTGATTAGCATCTTTGATTTTTATTTTTCAAAAGAAAAGAGACGAAAATCAGGACTTGGAAGACTGGAAAATCTGTCCTTAGGGCGCGGGAAGTTGATAGATCTCCACGTTTAACACAAAACAACTTGAAAAAGACGTCCCGGTAACTGGGGAAGGGGGAGATCGGCTTGTCAGAAAGTTTTCCCAATATAGGGTCAATTTCATTTATCCTCTAAAAGGAGCATTCTTAGCTCAGATCAAATTCTGGAGCTAAGTGAAAGCGAAATGGAGTGAGGATTTGGGGTATGGGGAGGGAAGATCTGATGTTTATGATTAGCCTTGCTGTAAATCTTCTGGATTCTGCCCGTTGAATATTTTCTGGCTTTGCTATAGTTTGGAAATTCCAGTTTTCTAATCCTTTCTTCTCTCCCCCTCCCAGCATAGAGACATTCCTAAATCATCGTTCGAGTGGCCTCGTGATACAGGGTCTGCATTTACCTTTTTTTATGAGACGGGAGGGAACAAGGGAATTACACAAAATGGAGATTTTTTTTACTGCTTTCTTTCTGAGCCAGTAATTGGCAAGACTTTGTCAATCTGTAAGCCCATTCCTTGGCAGCACTCAATCTGTAATGTTTTAACAGTCAGGGTCTCCTGGGACACTCCTTGCTGTTAAGACTGGCTTTAAAAGGTTAAACTAGTTAGCCACAGCTCCCTCCCCCCTCCATCTCATAAAATAATACCTATCATCTTAATCTTTGCAAACCAACATATCTCCCGTTTTTTCTGTGAATGATGTCTGTAAGAGCAGAAACGGGCTCATTTATTCTGCTCTGTCATTCCATGGGCTGATCTGATAATCCTCAACTCCACTTTCCTGCCATCTCCCCTTTAACCGTAGATTTCTTTACTGATTAAATATCTGTCTTGTCTCAGCCTTAATGACCAGCCTTAACAGCCCTCTGTCCTGGGCCAGATTCTACTTGTGGTTCAAACTGGTTAGTCAGATCCATTTGTAACCCCTTTGAGAGCTGGGACTGTTCTTAAATCTTTAGCTCTGAGACAGCAATAGCTGAGGTGGAGCTTTGGCCAACGTATATAACAAGCGTACTCCATGCCTCACAGAACCACACTCTCAGACCCTACCATCCCCTCCCCAACCCCTCCATCCACCCAGGTGTCTCATCCCCGAGGGACCGTGATGATTTTCCTGCTTCAAAATGGAACGCAGTGAGAAAAGTTTGGGAAGCACTGTTGTTGTATCCTAAAGATTCCCTTCTACTGTGAGTACAACCACTTTAACTCTATACCCTCCCTTTCTTAAAGCTTTCTGAAAGCTTTCACGTTTCTCCTGGTGCAAGTTAATATGAACTTTCAGCTAGTCAGAGCTTTTAATGCTGGCTGTTGAAGGTAAGACCCTCCTGGGTTTATGGATGAGAAAGACTTTTATGTTCCCAATCGCAACTATGAATTGAGGTCACAAATCTACAAATATTTTGTAATGCCCAGAATCAAGGAACTATCTTATTGTGTAACTCTTAGAATCAGATTACTAACTGGTGCAGACTGAAGAAAGGCTTGGGCTGATTTTGAAAAGAAAAATTAACGATCTGAGTTAATTTGCTACATCACACTTACAGTTAAAACCTTTGTGAGTTTATGCTTTTTTCTGCATCTCTCAATTGGAGAGATATTTAAAGCATTTTTATTACAGTAGTGGTCAGTTATGGCATGTGTGGTTTGTATTTTTAACCTGTCCTGGGAGATCCAGTGCTATTTTAGTCGACACCCAGTGTTAACAAGCAGATGTCAATGACACAATTGTGCAATACTGCACATTTCTGAAATTGGCATCTGCAGAGATGACTAAATGTTTTTAAGGTTCTCTGAGTGTATGTGCTTGCTGAGAAGGAGTGCCTCTTGTTTTTTTTGTGTCACTTCCTGCCAAGTTTCTTCCCTGTCTCTGATCTCATTTAAGATCTGAATCTTGTTGTATTGTTAGTGTGTACTGTTCCACAGCTGTGAGGAAGCTAATGAAACCTGTCAGTAAGAATCAGTGATAGAGCGCTTTGAACAATTATGAGGTGATCTGGGAGATGTGTGTGGTTTTGTTTTAAGGTAAGTCATGTATGACTCACCTGGTTACATATCTTGAGGGAAGAGTATAATTATCAAGGTTGACACAAAGCAAGGTTTACTAATGGTATGTGCATTCAGAAAGCTTTCAATAACATTCCATGAAAAACGTTGTTGGAAAAAGTGAAGGCATGTGGGGTTGTTTTCTGCTTTAACTTGTTAAGTAGGGGGACAGGGAATAGCGTTAAAGGGGCTGTACTCAGGGTAGGAGGGGATCTATAGGATATAACAACAGTGCTCCCCAAACTTTTCTCACTGCATTCCATTTTGAGGCATGAAAATCATCACAGTCCCTCAGGGATGAGGCACGCGGGTTGGGAGAGGTGAAGGGTACGGTAGGGTCTGAGAGTGTGGGGTCTGTGAGACAGGGAGTACACTTGTTATAACTGGGTCAAAGCTGAACCTCAGCTATGGCTGCCTCAGAGCTCATAACCCTAACATTTCAGGTTCTGTACTCCACTTGAAGTCCCATCTTCTGACTTTGGGAAGCCTGATATAGGCATAGACGGCTGCAGCACAGGAAAAAGGCCATTCAGCCCATCGAGTCTGTGAAATTCAAAACCAAGCGCTGAAGTGTTTTAATCCGGTTCCCTAACACTTGGCCCATAGCCTTGTACACTTTGGTGTTGCAAACTTTATATCTAAATACTTCTCAAATGTTATGAGGGCTTCTGTCTCTACCACCCTTACAGACAGTGAGTTCCAGATTCCCAACCACCCTCTGGGTGAAAAGAAAATTCCTCACATTACCTCTAAATCCCTCCCCTTGCCTTAAATCTATGCCCCTGGTCATTGATCTCTCCTCCGTGGATACAGGTTTCTTCCTGTCTTCCCTGACTATTCCCCTCATAATTTTATACATCTCAATCATGTCCCTCACCCCTCTGCTCCAAGGAAAACAACCCCAGTCTGTCCAATCTCTCTCCACAACTGAAACTCTTCAACCCAGGCAACATCCTGATAAATCTCCTCTGCACCCCCTCCAATGCTATCACATCCCTTCTATAAACTGCCATGGCCTAAGCAATGTTTTACACAGTTATATAACTGATAGCATTACTCAGGCATCTGCTTTGGGGCCTCAGCTTTTTAGGATGAAGGAATAAGACAGTTATACATTCACGACTTTCAGAGAGATAGTAGATAGGGCAAAGGAGACAGGTAAGTTAGGAAGGAGGACAGAAAGATTAAGAACATAGGAAAATCAAAGGCAGATGAAGTTAAACTCAGCCATGGATGAAGCCATCCACTCTGGATGTAAGAAAGATAAATCCGAGCATTTTCCAAATGGTTATAAAACTGGAAACTGTGGGGGAACAAAGATGTTTGAGATTCTAACTGGACAAATCCTTCAAAGCTAGTAGATAAGCTAAAAGAGTAATCAAAAAGGCAGATGTGACAATGAGTATGAGGGTAGGTAACAACAGGATCAAATTATAACTCAGTTTTGTATAGAACCTTGGTCAGCCGTCATGGAGAGCCCTGCAATCAGTTTTAGACACTGCATCTAAAGAAGGATCCAGAGGCTTTGGAAGACAGTGTAGTTCAGATTTACCAGAACCACACTGGGGCCAGGAGGGTTATATTGTCAGGATGTGTGGTTGCATCAACTTGCCTTGAGTGTAGAAGATTGAGCTGACTGAGGTTTTTAAAATGTTAATAGGGATACAATATTGGATTGTGTTATGACCCCTACAGAGATTGGTGACTTTTGAAGAGAGATATGGTGCTGGATTTTACAACATCCCTGTTTGAAAGTGGGTGTGGGGCTTGTAAAATAGATTGTGTGGTCTTCACACATTACCTTCTAGCACTGTCCAGCACCACCCCAAACCTGCCTTCCATCTGACTGTGGGGAAGGGAAGGTGTCAGGTAGCCTCTCCTCCTTTGGGTCTAGAGAAGCTCTTAAGTAGTCAATGAATGGCTCAAAGGTAGGAGACAGAGGCTGATAATGGAAGGTTGCTTTTCAAACCGGACACCTGTGACCAGTGGTGTGCCACAAGGATTGGAGCTGGGTCCAGTGCTTTTCGTCATTTATATAAATGATTTGGATGTGAACGTAGGAGGAATGGTTAGTAAGTTTGTAGATGGCACTAAAATTGGAAGTCTAGTGGACAGCGAAGAAGGTTATCTCAGGGTACAATGGGATCTTGATCAGTTGGGCTAATGGGCCGAGGAGTGGCAGATGGAGTTTAATTTAGATAAATGTGAGGTGCTGCATTTTGAAAAGGAAAATCAGGGCAGGACTTATACACTTGATGGAAAGGTCCTGGGGGTTGTTGCTGAACAGGGAGACTTTGGAGTGCAGGTTCATAGTTCCTTGAAAGAGGAGTCGCAGGTAGACAGGATAGTGAAGAAGGTATTCTTCCCTTTATTGGTCAGTGCATTGAGTAGAGGAGTTGGGAGGTCATGTTTAAGCTGTACAGGACATTGGTTTGGCCACTTTTGGAATACTGCATTCAATTCTGGTCTCCCTGCTATAGAAAGGATGTTGTGCAACGTGAAAGGGTTCAGAAAAGATTTACAAGGATTTTGCCAGGGTTAGAGGGTTTGACCTGTAGGGAGACTCCAAATAAGCTGGGGCTATTTTCCCTGTAGCGTCGGAGGCTGAGGGGTGACCTTATAAAATGAGCTGCTTCCTCTTCTATACCCAAGTGTTTAAGCTTGCACCTTACTTTCAAGGAGATCAGATTTGAGTGAGTGTCTCCATAATAAGCAGATCGCATGGGCTTGTCTTCAGACAGATTTTGACAAAGGTTAACCCCGCCCCATCCCTGGGCTTTTCCATTTTACCTTGA